TCGTGTAGGAATAAGGAATGTCGTAGAATGTTGGACATGAAATACAAAATATGATCACATGATGCCTAATATTTTTTGTTTATAATTCCAAGATGATCATTGCTTTATAGATCTTGAACTATGAGCGTATTTTTTAAGATAAGTGAATCCTTGTTGATTATTGATTTTAGGAGGGTATATAATATTTAATTGGTTGATCATATTCTTTTGTTTCTTTTTATTTCTGTGACTGAAGTGTTTTGGTCGTCTTTGTAATGATTTTCTCATTAGCATGTGTCTAAAATAGGGAAAACGTTCTTAAAAATCACACTTGCAATTTTAAATCCTTTCATAATCTTGTGATTTGGCTTGTCATTGAAGTAGAAATGATAAGAGAGATTTTTAGTGATAAAAGCATTGTAGTTAAAAAGTTCTTTTCCGTATTCTGATGGTCATTGTGAACTTGCAAAAGCTATTAATTATATGGTTGTTTGTCAGTTACCCTTGGCATTATATCGTTATTGTTAATCTCTTAGTTCGAGTATTATTATTTGATTTCTATTTTTCTTTTTTGTGTGTTTGTAGTTTCAGGTTATCCACTGAGCGCTGGGACGTGTCTTAGGAGGATTTGCATAGCATTAGAGAGAAGTTGGAATATCCAATGAATGTGTTATTTTCTTTTATTTTCTGTAAGTACGATTACTTGCCAAGAGGGTACTTCTTCTATTAGCAACCATCCCTTATTCATCTCTTAAAAATTTGGTGGATGAGTTTCACCTTTTATATAAAAATGAGAATAACTATATTAAGCAAAAGCATTTTTAGAAGTTTCCTTTTAGCAATAATGTTTTTAGGTGTTCTTTTTTAATGAGAGAATTTTTAAGAATTTTATAAACATTTATTTTAATTTGTATTTATCACATTTATCTTTAATTAAATTTTAATATTTTCAAATAAATTATCAATAATTAAAAATTATTTCTATATAAATTATTTATTATAAATCTAAAATATCATTTATATGTTTAAAAAGTTATATTTATATAAATAAATTATTTTGCCTGTTCAATAGTAGATCTCATGTAAATGTTAATACTGAAATTTTTTTTCATGAATATTAAATTGCCTCTATATCTATTTTAGTGTTTATTAAGAGATAGACATAAAATTTTATGTGTAAATAGATATTTAGAAACATGACCTTGTATGTTTAAATAAAAGCATATCATGTAGAAATTCAAATGACTTGGTCATAAAGTTGCTATTATCGTTGAGGGGATAATTCTGAAAATGAAACCTGTGTTTCGAAGTTTGAACTCACAACGCAAGTCCAAACGTAAGTCCATTCTATGGTGATCACGTAAAGCAAACTAAGTCTACAGCGATCCAGTTTCGTGGTTCATAACATGGTCCATGATATACCATTTATCTTCCTGGAACACCTTAAAATTTGTTTGATAATAAACTTTCGTACGACTTGTGTGTTTGACACTGATACATCTTTAAAATTTAAAATTGTATGAATTTGAAATTTTATATAGTCGATCTTTAAAAAAAAAATTCAAGAACACCCAATTTAATAAATAAATTTTAACTTTTAGTGCAAGAATGATGATGGAAAAAAAAAAACCTAAGCTAAAAAAGAAATTCGCCGAAGGTTACAATTATCTGGAAGAAATGAATGCAACATGCAAAGAGTCAAATTTGATGATTATTTGATTTAACCAATGCTTATGCAAATATATGCGTAGACGAATAATGAAATTGTTGAGTGTTTCAATACGTCATGCTTAGGATGATAATGAGTTCGGGTGTAAGCGAGTTAGGTTAGGTTAAATTTGGATAAATTTGTTATCTGATCTAATCAAAATTTAATGGATTGGATTAGATTATATTTGTGTAATTTTTTTTAAAACCTAATCTAACCCAACCTAATCATAAACAGGTTGTATTAATTGGATCAACATAATTATATTTATTTATTTATTATAAAAATTTAAATATTTTAAAATAGACGTAAATCATTTGACACACAATTGCAAATTCAAAGTTATTAACTTATAAAATAAATAATAAAACCTAATCTAATCCAACTCAATCATAAACGAATTGTGTTAATTGGATCAACATAATTATATTTATTTATTTATTATAAAAATTTAAATATTTTAAAATAGACGTAAATCATTTGATACATAATTACAAATTCAATGTTATCAACTTATAAAACAAATAATGATATAAATTAAATTTTAAAATAAATTTATTAATTTGTTACATTATTATTAACTCAATAAATCAACATTAATTAATATAAAATAAAATTTAAAATAAATATATTATATTGTTATAATATTATTAATGTAAAACATAAAATTTATTAATAAGTAAAAGTGAAAGTGAGTATTATCCTAGACAAATGATCATTCAAACTCATTGAGTTGATTTGGGTCGAGTTACTCTACCTACTTAAAAAAAATACTCATATCTATCTTCATATCCGCAAATAGCTTAATGGATATCGATTTTAATTTTCATTTTTGTCCCAGTTGAGTACCTATAAAGCTATAATTACCATCACACAACCATCACACAATATTTAAACTTGAGGTTATATCGGAAAATCATTTAATTGCAAATAGAAAAACAAAGCACTAAACTAAGAAGCAACTTATTTTATCGTTTCTGTTGAACATGATTTTATAAGTTTTTAATTGAAAATCAAACACATACTAATTAAGTAATATAATGTGGAGAGAGGTAGAGGACAATACCAAAAGGTACGTGATAATTTCTGAATACTTATAACTAGAATTACAAAACTTATTTTTTTTCTTTCAAAAATGATATAAAATGATTTTGAAATTTGCTCAAAATCTATTTCAACCCTTCCTAAATAAATTCAAATTTGTAAACTACAAATTGAAAACTTAAAACTACACCGATATCTCCTCTAGTTTTGTCAACAAATTATTAATGAGTATTGCTAATTAGTACGAAAAAAAATTTCACACCAAAAATAGAGATGTATTTATTACGAAAACAAAGAGAATTATAATTTATTGGATGGGAATAATGAATTAGAAAAGAAAATAAATGAAAATAAAGGTAATTAACTAGGGTTCATATTTGATTTCGTACACATATTTTCATTGCGAAAGTGATTTCCATTATAAATACTTTAAAATGTGCTTTCGTTCATCTTCCTATCCAATAAACAAACTTTTTATCCCTTTGTAACTTAAGTATATATATGGAGAAGATTTAGGTATAATTTATTAAGTATGGTTAATTTTTTTTTTGTTAACTATATTATTGATATGAAGACTTAAACTCAAGGAGATTGAATTCAGTGAGCACTTGAACCAATGATTTGTTAATAATTTTTTCTAAACAAAATTAGAGTTTTATATAACTAATAAACATATCAAGTAAGTTACATTAGCAATTTATTCAATTAAAATTATTAAAAACAAGAAATTAGATTTATAAGATATTTACATAATTATCAATTAATTCAGGTATGACTTGGAAAACGAAGGTTAAAAGGGTTTAAATTGTATATAGAGAAACATAGTAACTATAAAAGTTGAGTTTAAAATTTAAAATGAAACGAAATAAAATATTATGCGTATCAATTTTTGAGAAAAATAAATTGAAAAATTTAGCCTCCTCGCAATAATTTGTTATAATTCAATATGCATGAATTGATTTAAAAATACAAAAAAAAAAAAAAAAAAGATTCATTTTTTTAATTGTTTAGTTGGATGTCACAAGTTATTATAAAGTAATATGGAGGATGGATTGATGAAATGATTTTGTACCTCTTTTAAGATAGAAATGATTTTGTACTTCCTATAGTTATTCCTATTTTTTGGGTAACCTCTTTATAACGATGATATGTAAGCATATATGGTAAGTAGATAATTACGAGTCAGAGAGAATGGTGGTTCTGTCTAGCTGTCTCCATATTCGTACTTTGTTCTTTTTGCATTAACTTATCGCCATACTTTCATCATACCCAAGTCGCGTGAACAGCATCTTACATCACATTACTCTCATAAATGCTTTTCTTACCACAATCAATCAAGTACTACACTCAACATGCAACCATGTTTTCTAACTTTTGCGTAATACTTTGTCACACTACCGGCGAATTCAAGATTTTGAGTCGAGTCAGTGGGAATGGGGAAGAAAATTAAGAGTGGAAATCTAATTAATACATAAAATGATAAAGTAAAATATAAAAGATTTAAAACTAAAGACTATGGTGATGACGTAGGTGGTACTAGCTAGCTAGCTAGCAAATTACAATGATAACGCATGCATGTGAATTTTGTATGACTGGTTGGGACTTGGGAGGTTATTCTGCATTGCTTAAGAAGGGAAGTACATCTTGATATGACATTGTCTTGCGAAATTTTACGCGGCCAGAGGGAACAGCTCCTGGTCCGAAGCACATATATTCTCCATAGTAGATTGTCCTATATAAAGATATTGTTGTTAATTATTTGAAGAAATTAATAAAGATAGCAAGTGTGTGGTAAATTAAACGTACTGGTTGGATTCAGATTGAGGATGTTGGTCGTCTAATAACCATCCTCGACTATTGATGAGTGGGCCCATGTAGGTGTTAGCAAAGACGATCCTAGGGCTCTTCTTCCATGCACGTCCAAGGTAAGTGTTTCCATTACCACCTCCAATTATATTGCAGTCCACGAAAGTAAATCCAGTGTCATCTGTGAGGCTTTCCCTACCTTGCGCTGTGATAACACTCAAACCCTTTGTCACGGATTCAATGGTAGTTCTCAAGTAGACAGATTTTCCATTTCCAAAGATGAAGTCGTAGGTGCCTCTTATGTAGCAGTTCTTGAAGAGATGACTGCCTCTATCATCGCACAAAGTGTCCTGAAACCCAAGGAACTTGCAGTTACTGAATACAGCATTGTCCCCCGCTATCGTCATCGCCACCGCTTGTGCTCCAACGCTGTGTTCATCTGGCATAGGAGCCGAGTTCTGCATGCATGCATGCATATGCATAAACCATAGATATACCATGTTGTAGTAATTATGGTGAAAAGGAAAAAGAGAAATTAACAGACCTCAAAGGCAATGTTTGAAGCGATGAAGTAGTCGGATTCGACAGCGACGGTGGCGCTTTCGACTGTGCCGTAGTGTAAGGCGGTGGCGTTGTAGGTTATGAGGGGCATCTGGTTGAAGAAACCCATCTCGCCCTGAAACGTAACCATTGGCTTCGACCTATCTATCTTTATCTTCTCGCGGTACACGCCGAAGCCGATCCACACCACCACGCGCTCACTGTTCCCCGACGGGATGCTGTTAACGGCGTCCGTCACCGTCGTGAAGTCCCCCAGCCCGTCCTTGCGGACCGTCACCAATCTATAGCCGTCGGTGGCTGCCGACAGAACAAGAAGAAGAGCGAGGACTGTAAGTGCAACCAAAAATCTCGCTCCACTTTCAACGTGCCCCATCTTTTGCTTATGCTCTCTGATTTCTGATTTTGCAATCACAACAAGAGATATATATATAGGGAAAAAGTTGGAGTACGTGGGTGAGTGGATGTCACGTTCCAATGTTGCCCTATATCATTTATTTTTATCTAATCTTATCAACTTTATTTCTAATCTTAACCGATTTCATCTAATTAATTATATTGAGTTTGAATTAAATTGGTTTATTGAATTTATCATTGATATAATTAAAGATAAAATTACATTAGATAACATTATATAAAACATGATAAGTCATTATGATTAGATAACTTAAAAATATGATCTACTTGATATCATCATTATCATCTATTTTTAGGGTATTTTTAAATAAGTCATGAGAGATCTCAAATGTTGAGTGAGTCATTCTCTCTCTTTATCCTTAACTAATAGCTCAATTTTGATAATTCAAATCTAAATTAATAAATTAATATAATAATAATATTCATTTGATCATAGTTGGAATTAATTAAGATTTTTTAAATTATATGAATCCACGGACACACCTATTAAATGGGAGTTTCTACGATAATTGGTCTCAAATGTTTTGGGAGGCCCACTTTGAAGGTTGCCAAGGCTTGCTCATGAACGTGGCCCGTGTTTCGTTCTAAGTTGTGGAGAGAAGTAGAGATGGAGAAAAATTACAACACGCCTAGTAAAATGTCATTTTGTTCACTGAATTTGAAATTGGATCTCCCAAGTTTGTCGGTCCGTGTTAATCGATTAAATTGAATAGTCTAACTTATCCCTCTTAACTTATTTTAGTTATACTAGGAAAACAAAAAAAAAAAACCACTCTTTATCCCCGTTATAAAAAGATAAAAGTAGTAATTAATGTTAACAGAATAAAAGTTAATTGAAATTTGTTTTGAAAAGTAGTTAAAAGATAATTTATAATCTAATCCGAGCCACACAAGTTAGTGAATTAAACATGTTGATTCACTTACATTAAAATTTAAAAAAAATTAAATTTTATAAAAAAAAATATATTATAATCTTATAATTTAGAATTAGTGAACAAATCCCCTAAAAAAAAAGAATTAGTGAACAAATAAAACAAGTAAAATATTAAAAATAGACCTTATCCACAACTAAACTTAATTAACTTATAAAATTAAAATTATTGTATTAAATATTGACAAGTAATATCAAATTGACACTCATTATTATAAATCACAACTAGTATGTATAAAATTTAATTAATAGTATAAATGTATAATCATATAAATTAACATTTAGGAACCTAAAAGATAAAATAAAATAAATAAATATACTTGGTGAATCAATCTAACTTGGTGAATCAATCTAACTCACCACGGATTTGCTTATATCGAATTAGGTTATAAGTGAGTCAAATCAAAAAAAGTTTATAACTAGAACACATTAAATTTTTTTATCCAATCTGACTCAAACTGTGATGGACTGAATTGATTAACAAAATTTGACCTACTTTAACAACTCTATTTATTATACGATTATGTTTAGCTAGAACTATTCTAAACTTTATACTAGAACAAAAATAAAATGATTGTTTTATGAAATTAAAAAATATCAAATAAATTCTTAAAAGTGCATATTAATAAATTGGATCAATATAAAATTTAAAAACAAATTAATCAAAATAACTAAAGTAACAATAAATAATTAAGATTAAGAATTTATTTAACGTATTAGAATCTTATTTAACATTTTCTGAGTTCTATCAACTAATCAAACAATGTTGTTAACTATTTTCAGAGATAAAAATATTCCAGTGATATACTCATGAAAATAGAGAAAATTACTTTCTATGACACTTATAATTTTTTATTTAAATTATTTTAAAATTTAAAAATATTTCTGGAATATTAAAATCTAACTAAACACTTCTTCTTTTGAAGTATGTGTGAGAATAACATTTCAACCTATAATATTTCTAGAAATCTTATTCGTAGAAATAAATATCAGCTTGTGAAACAAACCACCCCCTAAATACATGATAAATTTGAGTGCTTATTTTTGGAGTATGGTAACATTTTCAGTGGCCACGTGAGGAAGGTTTAGACCTTTGTGTTACACCAAACTTGTGAATGAAGACTTAAAATTTAATTTTCACAAAATGTATCTTTGTAGGGGTGTGCAAAAAATTCAAATTGATCTGAACTGATCTATAATCGATTTGATCCATATTGAAAAATTCGATCTATTTTGGAAAAAATCTGAATCGATCCATTTTATAAAATCGATTCAGTTATCTGCCATTTTTACAAAGTGGATCGGTTCGGTTTGATTTTTTTAAAAAAATTGATTCATATATGAGTAAAAAGTAGATAATTGCATTGCACCGAACGATCCAATTTTAAAAAAAAATAAACTGATCTATATTTTAAAAAAATTAAATCGATCTACTTTATAAAAAGTAGATCGATTAATCGATTCACTTTTATAAAATGGTTCAGTTTGGTTTGGATTTTTTAAAAAATAATCCATGAACACCCCTATCTTTAGAGAAAGACAGAATTCTAGGTATCATTAAACCTCGGTGAAAAGATTAATTGAATAGTAAACCCAAATGAAAAAAAAAAAACAGTTATGAAAATACATTTAATATCTAATAGAATTAATATTGTACCTGTCTGAGGGTACACTCGCAATCTTCAGGTGGGTAGAGGGCCGAACGTGAGCTCCAGGTGGATGCTTCAGAGGGGGGAGGTACCTACAAAAGGCACTCCAACGCTCAAATCAGGACAAGCACGAATCTCAAGAGTAATAATTGAACAGTGACATACCTCGTTACGTGTGACCTATTTATAATACCTGACATGGGCCTGAACATGGTGGGTCTTCTCTGACACTTACCAAATTAGGTAATACGATGTTAATCGGCGGGTTATGCCTTAATAGTGCTTTGTCCCTTGTTAATGATGATCCTCATTCTAATTATTCTCTCTGTTGACCTTCGACCGAGCCGATATGGACGGCCGAGACGTCATCTCTGGCCGAGCCGATATGGACGGCCGAGACGTCATCTTTGGCCGAGCCGATAGAGGATGGATGCGGTTCTCAGTCCCTTGCCGAGTCGAAGTGATATCTGAGCTGTGTCGATATATGATAGGATATGACATGCCGGTCCACGTGGCCGATCCTTGTGGCCTATTGCTGAGCTGAAGCGATCTGAGTTGCGTCAATATCTAATAGGATATGACGTGTCGATCCACGTGGCCGATCCACGTGGCTGATAGGACCCTTCCGGTACACAAGCCCCCCACCAGCCTTAAGGAGTGCAACGACGCAAAGGGTAGAGTTGTCTTGGAAGTTGTGGCGGTTGGTGTGAAGTGAGCAGTTAAAACTGCTAAGTATTAATTGTAGGAATGAGAAGCGTTGTAACCGTTGGGAGTGAACGTGGGAATGTGAGAGGTTATAACCGTTGGGAATGAACGTGGGAATGTGAGAGGTTATAACCTTTGGGTAATAATGACAAAGATTTGAAAAGTTGGAGCTCGTGGATCGTTGGATCAAATTGATCCAACGGTTCCTAGGGGATTAGCGGTTACTACTCGTTTTTTGAAAGTACTATAAATGGGGGTGGTGGGGACCAAGTCTTAGTGTGTTTACTTAATTACAGCGTGCCTTTGCTCCGAGCTGACGTAGAGATCAAGCTTGAGTGGTAGTTACCAGCCGAGGCCGACTTCAGATTAAGGTACGTTTTTAATGGCTGATTTTGATATAGATGTAGAGGATAGGGTTTCCCAGGCTGGCTCCACCGGGAATGCTGGAGGAGCCTTCCCCCCAAGAGCGAGCTTCGGATTCGGCATCGCAGAAGTCAGCTAGTGTAGAAATTGTTGAGGGGTTCGAGCAGTCACAAAGTGTAGAGGAGGCTTCTTCTCTCGAGATGGTTGAAGGCCAACCGAGTACTCGATGTGTCGGCTCAGCTTCGCGTCAGTTCGGCCCTATAGAAGTTCCTGGCTATAGATGGGTGCATGGAGAAGTGGGCAGTGTATTTTTGCGGGCTCGATCACATTGCTATTCGACGCGGAGAACTTTGTTACTCTTCCGGAGAGGGAGGTGCCATCCGGTTTCTTTTTCGAACCGTGTCAGAATGACAGGTCATGGGAATCAGATTTTGTTTTTCTTGGCCGAGAGAAGTGTAAATATAACTTCTTTTTTGTATATGACTACTTGTTTCGGGATCTGGGAGTGACCCTCCCTTTCGATAAGTTTTTTATGGGTGTGCTTCATTTGCTCAACGTTGCGCCGACACAATTGCATCCGAACAGCTGGGCCGCGATGCAAGGGTTTCGGCAGCTGTGTTTAGCACTTGGTATTGAGCCGACTCCCCATCTGTTCTTATATTTCTACTCTTCTCGGCCGACGAAGAAGGCAAAATGGCTGTCGTTGGTTTGGACAGAGCATTGCTTACTTCAGCCGTTCACGACCTCGTACAAAGGATTCAAAGTAGGGTTCTTCAAGGTAATGATTCGGCCTGGTAACGGCAACAAGTACTTCTTTGATGGCGAGGGAAAGGCATTTTTCCCGATGTATTGGACACGGGGGCCGAGGAAGTACGACGTGGTGTCGAAGTCCAAGATGTCTTCTGAGGAGAGAGCTGACTTGGCGGTGTTGGAGAAGCTGCCTCGGCCATTGCCATGCCGAGATCTCGTTCGGCTTATGAAATCAACACAACCTCTTGACGATTTAATTGGTATAGTATGTGTCCTTTGTTTAAATTCCTGCGTTGCCATTGATTTTAACTAATGTTTGTGCAGGTATCATGACGAGCTGCGAGAGCAACAATTTGGATATTCGCAACCTGATCCGTGGCCGAGCGCCTACGCCGGTGCCGACTGGTCATGGAGATAACTGAGCGCCAGCCCGTGAAACGGCCCGGCCACAGCCGAAACCGAAGGACAAGGCTGTTCAGGATGACCAGAAGGTGAAGGCGGCTAAGAGGAAGGCGGACGAAGCGAGGGCCGAGGCCGAGGCGCGGAAGCAAAGACAAATGTTACATGTGCTCGTGCCTCCACAAGGGCTTGT